AGCGGACCCCGCGGCCGGGAGTCGGCCCGCTTCCCAGCATTCCTCGCGCAGAGCCCCCGCTTCCGCGGGCCTCGTGGCCAGGCGCGTCTGGGTGGCCGCGGGGGGTGCAGGCCGCCCTCGCGAGGGTGTCCCGCCCCTACGCCCGAGGGGGACCCCTTCTAGGCGCTCACGGGTCTCCCCGGCCTCCTGCCGGGTCGCTGTCTCCTCCCCAGTCCGCTGTCTCCTCCCGCGTCCGTGGCCTCCCGCGTGTGTAATCGGTCAGCCCGCTGGGCTCTGGCCCTTCCCCCCCTGGGCCCGGCCCTCTGGACCAGGCAGCCCCCTGTCGGGCCTGTGCCCCTGGCCTCCGGCTCTTGAAGGTGCCCTGAGAACGCTGCGCTGAGACGGTGGGAGGGACCCCCACCTGGCCGGACCCCGCCATGGGAAGCCCCGCGTTTAACCCCGTGTGCAAAGCCACTCGTTGCAAATGCTCCGACGTCACGGAGCGGACCAGGCGTTTATCCTGCCAGCAGGGACCTGTGCTGCGGAGCGGGAGGGAGACCGGTGCCAGGGTGGGGGTCGGGGCGCCCCATTTTTATGCCAGAGCACATGGAGAGTCCCAGTGGGAGGCCCTGGGCGCCTCGGGACACATGCCTCTAGGGGCCTCCTAGGGCCCTTAAAGGGCTTGGCCCCTGTCTACCAAGGATCAGGAACTTGGGGGGGATGACCCTTCTTTGGAGGGAGAGGGGCACAGGGCCCTGAAGGAAAGGTCACCGTCAGGCCCCTCTGGGCTCTTAAAAGTGCCTGCATTTTGGGCAGAAGAGCTAAAAAGACACTTCTCAAAGAGGAAATGCAGACGGCCAACAAGCATATGAAAAAATGTTCAACATCACTCGTAATAAGAGAGATGCAAATTCAAACCACAGTGAGATACCACCTCACCCAGTGAGAATGGCACATCTTCAAACAACTAGCAACAACAATTGTTGGCGAGGATGTGGAGGAAAAGGAACTCTCCTGCACGGCTGGTGGGAATGCAAACTGGTACAACCACTATGGAAAACTGTTTGGAGGTTCCTCAAACGGCTACACATGGAGCTTCCCTACGATCCAGCAATCCCACTCCTAGG